CCACACACTCTGTTCCATTTACAGGTTATTTTCCCGAAGTACCTTGGATTACACATTTAGCTGCACTGTGTTAAAATGTGTCTACATCGCTGAGATGCAGGGTAGGATTAACATTCAACTTCTGGAGTAATTTGAAGAAGGAGGTCAACAGATTAAGCCCCCTTCCCCAAAGCAGCTTCTCTTAAAACTGGCATTATACCAGCTTTTGCACAGATGCATCTCAAATTACATGTGCACACTATATATCTATGTCTTGACGTATGTATGCACATATACACATATGTATGTATATACACACATACACAAAATAATCCACATTGTGCCTGGTACTATTCTGTTCCAGAGGAAGCAAAGGTAAAAGTGGAAGGGAGGTGGGGGAGAACGGAGCAACAATTAAAACTTGGTTCTCGTGGATAGATATACATCTAACTCACAAACCAGAGGTTTCCAGTGGAAACATAAAAACCAGAGCGCTCTGTAGTCTGTCAGTTCTCACATGAGTTGGGAGTCTCAGGGGTCTCTGTGGTAGCCGTTGAACCTGACCTCCACCCAGGTAGGGTCAATTTGAATTTGACTCTTGGCACACACCCAAGAAAGGAAGGCATTCAGAGGCAATTTGCTTTTGTCAGAGTTCTGCTTTGTTGTCAATTGGGGAAAATGTCACCTAAATAAAGAGGAAGATACAGAAGGCACCAAAACTTCCTTTTTTGTAAAGCAAACATAGTAGATGTGCAAATGTCAGCAGTAGGAGGAGAAAGAGGAAATAAGAAGCTGGGGGAGCCATAGGAAGTGGAGTAAGATGATGGGGACAGGAAAAAAAGAGCATAGCAAGAAGAGGACCAGAGATGGGAAAGGGATAACACCACTAGTAGCAAAACAAGTACAAAATACCCCATAGGCTATATTCTTCTTCCCTGTGAATATCCTATAACCCAATGGTCCTTGCAGCATTGTATTCATTTCCCAATAGATGATGGAACTGAAAAGCACTCCCCCTCTCAAGATGTCTGGGATTGGTTTCTGTAATTCCCTCCTCTTGCCCCAGTGTGAGAGCTGGGTGTCTTGGAAGCAGCATACCACTCCAAAGTGGTCTACCTTCCTGTCCCTTTTATTGAGATCTGACAATCTCTATGGATATGTGAATTTATCCTCCCCTACCTGCTCTCCCCCGCTCCCTTTCATGTGTACTCTACAGAGGGAGTTGAGATTTTGTAAGCAGACAGCAAGTTGGGGTGAAGAGCTAAGGACAGATGTGTTTCACTCTTCATTTCTGTCAGGGAAGAGAGAGGATGAGAAAATTCTTTCTGAAATGAATGGAGCAATTCACACCTCTCAGAGCTGTTGTTTCAAGCTACATTTATGTCTCAAACCATATTCATCTCCATCTTGTATTCTCACTCAGCTCAGGACATCCGACTGTGATGAATAGGTCATTTCACACCTTTCTGAAAACTTTTCTGTTTAAAGGTCAATTTCTTCTAAGTGCTATATAATCCCCATGCTTATCTAACTGCCTTGAAATCTAGCACAGTTACTGCAGGTGGTGAGTAGAATTATTGATCTAAATTAGAGGTCATTTGAGTCAAGAATTCCCAAGATACAGCCTTTTTCAAAAAAAACAGCATTCCTTAACATTGACCGATTGTACCAATGTTCCTTTGTGCACACATCTAGAATAAAACCGTGGCCAGAGTCTCAATTGCTTAACATTTACCTTAGCAAATGAAAGGCATCAACTGTCTCCTTGGTATTCAGAGTTCAGATGTTTTTAAAAATTTCAGCTCCACACATGCAGCGAATTAAATGCTCAAGACTTCAGGAAGTTCCTGACCATTTGAGTAGGTCTGAACAACTCCTTCTATTCCTAAATAAAACCTGGGAAATCCTTTTCCTTGAGAGGAGGAGGCTAAGAATCCTTCTTCCCACACTCACTAAGTACTCAGAAGTTAGACACGAATTGCAGTTAGTCCATTTTGAAAATGAAGAAAAATAGGAAAAGAAAAGGTAAGTCATACCTCTGGAGATAGTTCACAATAGAGATAGGAGGAAGGGGACAGGTTAGATAGGTCAATGGAAGCCTACTCTAGGCTCTGGTGGGACCTCAGCTCCATCAGATTCTAACAGCATCAACAGCTTAGAAAAAAGTATGCATGTATGTACCGTGCAACAGCAGTGATATATGCAAGCAACTGCAGAGTACCAAGTATCTACCATACAAATGGTGCTTAAAATACCAATGACTTAGTGGAACAGGAAGAATGTATAAACTGAAAATGGCAGCAAAAGAGGCTGGGAGAAAGGGAAGGAAACACAACTGTATGTTTCCTCTCATGTGCTTCTAGTCACCATAATTACTGTTGAGATGCTGAGACATAGACCATATCCGTGAATCTTTTCACTGGCCTTATCAGCAGCAACACTCTCAAAGGATTCCACTACAGGACCGTAATTCCCATTTATGTTTCCAAGCATGACAAAAGAGAAGGAACATTTAGGGATCACCAGATTCCTACACATAGATGCAAATTTTTACCTGCTTTTTTCTGCTCAGCCTGGCACACCAAAGAAGTTTGCTGACTTTTTCCATTGCAACATCACTGGAAAAAAGCTGCTTTGCCTCAAGTTATATGCTACCCGCCTGGCACAGTATCAAAACGAGACATGGATGAATGGCCTGACTAAATCCTTAAAGAGCTTTCATGTTCCTTTTTGCCTTCCACCACACAAAGGAGGGGCTCATCTCAACACAAGTGACTGTAGCAGAACCCATGTCAAGAAAACCACAAGTTGTCTAAGCTGCTCCAGCTCATGTCACCACAAATTCATTGTGAGGTGGATAGCAGTGTACATATAGCAAGTGAATGGGAGGGTCTGCAGGTGTTTCTTTCCAACTAATGCACCTTAGGTTTATATTTTCCATGTGCTGGAAGCTGCAATACTATCAAGCAATCAGTGATTTAATTAAGGTATTTTTCAGTGAAATTCTGCCATTACTATTTTGTCATTTCCCTTCATTTCTCAAGGGTTGTCATTTTTCAGCACTGAGAAACTATTCATTTAATTCTCTAAGTAACTTCAAAAATGAACCACATATAATTTTACAAACAACTGTACATAAGTGAATAAAAGCAAAGTTACCATGGAATGTGTATGGAAACGTATTCGACCTCCATTAGAATGCCAAAGGTGTTTGTTACAGTCAGTGTTTTAAAACTGAATGCCAGATGAATTCACAAGAATATGACATAACAGAATACTATTGGAAACATCTACTCCAAAACTGTGTATACAGTCACACACTTGCATATAAATTACACAGAAATTCAGCCTAAATGATGCTAATAAAACAGAACATAAACTCTGACAAAAAAGACATAAAGCAGCAATTGAAAGAGCAATGAGGTAATCTGATGAACTAATAGCTACAGATATAAAAACAAACTAGAATTCTGGCGATTCATTCAAAGAACAACTCTTCCTTGAACTTTATCTTCTTATTCAGATATTGGCCATAAAAAAAAACCTGCATTCAAAATTAAACACAAGCAACAAGCTACTAAGTAATTGATCCGCAGATGGCAAAACAGCACTCTCATAAGGTACCAGAGTACATCAGATAAATGCCATATTAAATGAAATGAACTCCAAGTAATAAGTTGACATGAATCAACTTTGAAACTAAGATTAAGTGTCAAGAATGTAAGAGCTCAAAAGTAGGTCAAAAGATAACTATTCCCTTTCAAGGGTTTAAAATGTATAGGAAGAGTGGGTTCATCTGTGCTATCACAACACATTTGTTATAGGAAGGCAAGTAAAGACGAGTTCCAGAAGTTCATCAGGAACGGTTGTACCATAATTATTTGAAAATGCAAAATCACCTGGTACTTCAGTATTTATTCAGAGGCAGGACACCTGAAAACGGACAGGTAAGACAGAGACAAAAGTGCAAGTGCAACAGGAAGAGGCAAAATCACTCTCTCTACAGTCTTTAATGTAAGGTGATTCTAGTTCTCAATATCCAAAAAATGTGTGAGGTTGAGAGGAGAGGGAGGGGTGTGCTACTGAAACTCTTTTCTCAGATGGAATGAAAAGGGGAGGCATCTGACTTAATGCTCCCCCAAAAAAACCCAAAAATTGCCTGAATGATAATTGTTACAGTTCTGTTGACAAAGACTCATACAGGCCAAGTGTCAAAACGATAGTGTGACTTTTCTTGAATCATTGACAACAGTAGATATACTGCCTCTTCTGCTCATCCCCTTAAGTATGAAGTGTTGCTGAAGCCACCTTTGGGTAGCTTTACACAGATTAATTTTTTTCTTATGTTATATAAATTTATCATCCTCTCCATTAAACAGAAGAGCACTCCACAGAAATAAGGCCTTCTCAAACAGAACGAGGAAGATAACTAAGCTATTTTAATCTCTCAAATAAAGGGTTCCTGAGCTTCCTCTTGAATAATTTTTAATTAAAGTATTTAATAGGATGATTCCCACATAGCATACTAAGCACATACCCTTTTGATTTCAAAAGGATTGACCCAAGGGGAATTTGGGGCACAGGGTACCACAACGTAGATCGAGCAGTGAGGGAGTAGCATCGAGTGGAACACCCTTGGATACAGCAACTCTCAGTGAAAACTTTAAAATCGCAGTCACAGAAAAAGCAAACAGTGCTCCAAGCATTTTATTTCCAGGAGTTACATTCATCCAGGAAAGCAGAAAGCACTGGTTGTTTCACTAAAGTTCAAGTTAATGGTTAAAAATAAGTTAAAATGGTTTCTGAAAACTTAATCTGTGGTCTGGCTTCTTGCTAGTCCACACCACAGTCTGTGTGCAAAAGGCAGTATATTTAACATCAGTAAGTGTTCTCCATACTTTTTTTTTTTTTTAAAGTATCTCAAAAGAGTAAAGCAAAATTTTCACATTATGAGAGCTTCTTATTCATGACTATTTGCATTAACAGTTTAAATGTCATTTCTTCCCTTTTAATTAACTTACCGGGTTGACAATATGTCAATGAGTTCTTTTCTGTTCTGGACTCTGAGTGTGTTAGTTTTGTATCTGGAATCCTTACTAACTTCAGGCAGATTCAGGATCTAAGTAAAAATAAAGGTGAGTAAGAAACGTCCTTGTCAGGAGATATTTATATAGCTAAGGAAATTCATTACCGATTTAAGATAGCTTTCCGAAAATCCCTACTTCTCATTAATCTTTCAATATAGATTAGGAAATTAAGAAAAGATAATGCCTCCTGGTTAATGTTACATAACAAGTACAGAAAAAGACAGTAATTAAACTGAAGATCCAAATCTTAGTTGATAGCTTTCACCATTAGCTAGGAGAAATTCTTATTGTAGAAGTTTTTAAGTTATTACCGTGAGGTTGGAGAGATCTGTAGGATTATCCTGCACTAAGTTATATGTCACAGAATAAGAAATATGACTGTACTTCATATGCTATACTGAGAAAAGCTATGTCTAAGAATATTTCTTTCCACTTCAGTAATTTCTGTCAAAAAGACAAAAAAAATGAAAAGGTATTTTTTCTATTGAAATGTCATAGTTTTTCTTTATGATTTCCTCCAAAAGAATTAATAAAGAATATTGGTGGTATAACCTCCAAGAAAGGAGAAATATATCTTCTATATATGTAACTCCCACCTGGCACATTAGAAATTTAACCATCATGCAAAGACAATGTGAATTATACTATGAAGGGGATTAAATGTGGAGAATGAGTCTTAGAATTTTGTAGAGGCATTTATGAGACAGAGTAGCTGTGTGGACAATCAATGCTTACTATATAAGTTATCTGTTCATGCCACAATGTATTCATATAGAACATAAATAAACAGAATGAGTTGTGCTTTGCAAATTTAATAAAAAATATCCCAATATCAGCTACAGAGGAAGGCAGAACAGAAGCTTACAAAGAAAGAGACTGTCATATATTCTTCATGTATTTTTACTCACTAATGCACACTCAGGATCAATTTTATTTATGATGAGTCTTATAATCATTCTAAACATGCTACATTTTTTTACAGGGCCATTTCCAAGATGGCTTACGAAAAAACCAGTACTGGCTCAAAGCTGAAGTCCCTATAGCCCATCATCCTATCTCTGCCTGTGGCTGAGTGCTGATGCGTAGGAAGAGCTTAAGAACAGGGCCAGTATATGATACTACCTTAATATTCATCCAAACTCCAGCCATCTTTAGATTAGGGCATTTCTGAGTTGGAGCTGTTTCCTATGTATTTAGCGATCCTCAATGGATTTTTGTTTTATTAACATGTTCAGTCACTCCTTGAAGACATACACCTGTCTACTACCACATGTAAGTGATGTATAGATTGGTGTCAATCTATCTGATATTTGCCTCAAAACTAAAATTCTACTAATTCCTCTGAGAGTGGTTCAGACCAATGCCACTATCATTTAATGACTCCTCACTTTGCTAGAGTGAATAAGGATATGGCTTCCCTTCCGAGTGAATAGCTGTTGATGACTTAAAACCATCAGCAAAATAGGTATTCTTTCAACACGTATTTAGAGATACTCAAAACAGATAGTCACCTTTGACATAGTTGTCACCTAGAGTGACAAAACTAAGCATGGAAACCAAGGTATCAGTAAGTTATGTTAGAACAATGACTGTATTGCATAACTTTTCTGCAGATTTTTATCTGCAAGGTAACAACATCAATCTAGGATCTTCCATCAACACTTAATTCACAACATATTCTCTTTTCCTTCTATGTTTATACAATCTAGTTTATGAAAATCATAACATATCATAATCTAGCTTTGGAAAATGTTGTTCTTTTCCTATCTGAAAGTTTAACAATAATATTGGTACCCCCTTTAAAATTATCTCGTCTTTTTAATACTGCTATTTTGGAGTTACAAATCATTGCTTTAGAGAAAAAAATCATGCAAGGCTGTTCAAAGTAAATGATAGTGAATACTTATTTATGAGAGCTTAAAAAAAACAAGAAATTAGTCAGAAAACTGTGGTTACATTTGATGAGTTATATGAAAACTGATCATATGGAGTTGCTCACTCTACTGTTTTAATTAACGTTACTGACTCCAGCTTTAACTTAATGTCCATCTGTTGTAAAGCTGCGTGTCTATATATGTTCTTCTCAATTTTTTTGTGACTAACAAATGCACATTTGAGAAGTTATTCATTAATGTGCCATTCATCTTTCTGCATCACACTGCCAATGTTAGTTTCTTCATTTCACTGTAACCACTTGGAATGAAACTGCTGTTCTCCGTTTCTAGGCCTCCTTCAAGATCTAAGATGCGCATTCAGAGTTTACGCTCTCTGCATTTTGTCCCTCAATGCTAGCAAACCTGTTTGTAGTCTCCTTTGCTGTACACAAAAGCTCAGTCTTCTGAAGACTTTTGCTCAGTATTCCTATTTAGACTGAAGCAGCACACATCAGGATGTGCTTTTGTAACACTTGACCACTATGAAATGCACTTCAGCCAGCAGTGTTACAAGTTTTTCTGCAATCATCCAAGTCCCCAAACAAGCTACAGTTAGTTGTCATTGATTTTGAAAATAACACAGTGAATTATTCCAGTTTTTTTCTTTCTGCTTGCCTGAAAAGATACGGTTGAAGCAGAATGTTTGCAGTTGTTTACAGCTTGAGCCAGCTGTTACATCTCTGGAGTATGTGTCTTCAGGGCAACAGCTTCCATACAGCCTATATTTTTAGCACCAGCTCATCTCAGAAAGGTTCTCTAATAGCAATTCCAATGTTTGAATTAGTGGTCTCTGTATTTACTAAATGTTCACTAGGGTGTTGCGGGCTTTCCTGTAATAAAGTCCTCTTCCTTTATTGGCTCTCCCTCTTCATGGTGTTTTAAGTTCCAAATCACCTTCGACTTAGCACAGAGCATACCTCTAACGGATTTCACAGCATTCCACTGACTTCCACATCACTCCATTTCTGGGCAATTTAACGACCCAAATCCATACCTACAATAACTCAACAAGGGTAAGAAGACCTTTCTATTTAAAAACAAATATGACAAAAATCTAACCGCTACCCAAAACTTGAACTATTTTTTCTGTTTTTTTAATCCCTTTGAAATGAGAGCAATCATAATTTTTCCATGTTCTGTACCTCCTACTTTCAATTCTAGGAATACCAGAACACCTTTATAAGGATGAAACAAAAAACCATCAAACATGCAGACTAGGGCCAATATTCATCTCACTTAATTTTAGTCCTACAGATTCTGAGGTAACACAAACTGTAGAAACGTTGCCTCATCTTCTGGGGTACCATTCACTCCTTAGTGATTACAGAGGGAGCGTGTAGCAACAAGTCACACAGTCTCTCAGCTGCACCCTAAAGTGAGGTGAATGCATGGTCTGAATTTTTAGTGCCTTCTAGCTCACACCATGGTGTCAGAACCTTCCAAGCCAGATCTTCAGCTCTGCCTTACTCAAGGATGGCAGGAAGACCAGCATTTGGTACGTAATTCTTCAGGTGATAAAGCACCAAGAAGACATTCACAGCTATGTCCTGGGACTTTCTGCAAAGATTTCCTTTATGAGACAATGAGACTTTGATAAAACTGAGTTGTGGCAGGTAGACACTTATTCAGTCATTAGTCTTAATTCATGTTAAGATAATGACCACACTATTGTGGTTGGACAACTGTATAAAGAAAACCCGCTGAGAAGACTTAGAAGTTAACTTGCTACCCATTGAGAGAGCCAATTCAAGCAAATGAAACCAGATCCCTCCAGATAGCAAGGTGGGGATATGTAGCCCAAACTGCACTAAGAGAGAATCACAACTGCACTATCTTCTTACTACATATCCCAGTTATTATTTGTGAACATCCATGGAAATGTGAAACGTCTGACATGAACAAATGGGGGAAAATAATGCTCAATTTCCTGAGGCTGCCAGCTCATTTAGAGTATGATTAATTTAGGCTAAGTATCCAAGTTCCCAGACAAAAACCATAATGACAGGAAAAATGTAGAACTCTCATTTTAAAAAATGCTGCCTAATGCTATACGTAAAACTTCTCTTGTCCCAGCTTACATGTTACTGGGGTCTTTTGTTTGGAATGTTGCTACACTTTATT